TATATCAAATAGAATTACCTGGTCTGTATTCTCATAATATATCAAATAGAATTACCTGGTCTGTATTCTCATCACAGAATGTAATGGACGTAAGTCGATAACCATTTAACAGCAGATACTCATTGACTAAAAAATTAATTGCTCTGACTTCATGGGGTTTGATTGGTTCCTGAAAGACAATTGGAGACTAGTATTTACTGAATACTGAGCAGAAGACTAGGTTACAGTTGGAACTACAAAACATGCATGGATTAAGTGCAACAGATTCACTACAGTATGTTACAATTAATATGTTATTTGCCTTGTATATCTGCATAGCAGTCACAGAGCCAGAATTATACACTTACATCTGATGAAGATGTTTCCTTTGTTTCAGTTGATCCTGGCCCTTTTCTTGATGGTGAGGCACAATCAGAACCTACCAGGACAAACAGGTTTTCCTTAAATTGCCATAATATGTCATATATATACAACACTCTATTATAATTGATAATCAATAAACTACTGACATACCACCTTACCTGCTACTTCTGTTAGTGTTCCACGTAGAGCTCTTATTGTGTCATGTGCTTTACGAAGCTCAAATTCAAGGACTGCAATATCATTAGAATATTAGTCATCACTTGTTCAATATAACAATAATAAACAACAATTACCTGTTATGCGCTCATCTGTATTATCTCGTCCACCATCATCAGAAAATCGTGCAAAATCATCCAGAGAATCAATAGTATTAATACTGGAAGTACGAGCTGAAAGAATGAATTACTTCAATAGCTTGTTATTGCAAAACAAAATTCAATTCAATGAACTAATGACAACTAATAATAAAATATAACTACGTAACAATATGAAAGACAAAGTATGAATTGCACACGTATAATAACSTCATGATTAAATGATTAAAACTGAGAAAGGCTGCCTTCTGATTTCAAAAGTGACCATGCAACATTAGRTTCAAAAACTTCTCAGAAGTTGAGCAACGATTAAAGATTACTTATTTTTAAGGTMACATTAAAAATTTACTTATAAACACTCTTGAAAAGCGAGCAAAAATTATTTTTTACTAACTAAACGAAATAAGCACTCGAAGATTCCTTTTCAAAAGAGTTAGTAGATTCAAGACTTACGAATTGCTCCAGGTGAAGGCGCTCTAACAGGAAATTGTCGTTCGAAGTTTCCAGGATTCGARAAGAAATCGCGAAGCTTTGGAATCTGAAGTCCATATTCCACAAGCTCAGTATGTAACTCTAAAGCACTCAAGTGCATCTGATGCTTCAGTAAAAGGTCAGCAATAGGCTCAAAGTCTTCTAGGACAGGAATCGCAGCCTTCAAATCCACTTCRTCTGTCTCTAGGTCAGCCATCTTGTGACGGCTGGAGATGTATTTACTACAATAAGGCTTGGCCGCTAAGGTAAAGTACCACAGGTAACCCATGGAATTCTATGGGTTTTTTTCAGGCCTAATATTATAATACAACATTTATGTGTACTGATATTAGTGGATAAGAGTCCCCAGTCTCTTCTTTTCCACTCTTGATATATTACACCATCTACAAGGGCGAATCCATAGCCCTAAATGTATGTATCCAATTACTATATTTTAGCCATCCCCTTTGTCACTTTATGTATCCACCCCTGCGGTCTCATCAATAAACAAAACCTTGACAAAGATAGTTTTGGCAGAATTTTATTCATTAATAATCATTATGGGTGCCGTTTGCATGCATTTCATTAAGATTAGTGTTTATGAAACAAGCTATACAAGAAAATCTATCAACATGGCGTCCACGTTTCCGAGGGTCGATATGCCTCTTATTCCTTTATATATTGAAATTGTTAAACATCTTTTTACCTGTACAAGTGAACATATTCCAATTACTACTCTATTCTGCCGGCTACGTTATATGGCTCTAATGAAACCTTCTGATTAGCTTCATATTATGATATATAGTTTTCCTTGCTTGACATAACTGGTCAGCGAGTTTGGTGAAACCTTAATTTCATAGTGTTTTTGCTTTGTTTTCAATATCTCGAGGACGATAAAGGGAGACGCGGATCCGGGAATGGAGGACTATACTCCCTCACTCTTGTTTCCATAATTCCCCACTTCCCGCAAAATTAATATCTCAGTCCCCCATATCTTTACGTACTCTGCGTTCCCTGGATAACAATGACAAAAACACTACAAAAACAACGTCATCAGCCTGAAGAAGGCCTATCATATAACGGTTACGTCCTCTGGCGGAGGCGATGGTGATGACTTCTTTTTGAGTGCAAGTTCTAATTTTTCCTTCGCTGTTCCAAGATAATCAGGGTCTGGATAGCCACATCTGAAGAATAAAAACGGTGATTGTTTTGTTTATTGTTGTTGTTTGTTGTTGTTTTCTTTTTTGTAATAAAAGATTACAAGTATTTTAAAGAACAAAGCAACTAGGTAGGAACAAAATAAAGGACAAAGAGTATAGTGAAAAAACATACTATCCTCCTCCCCYCGTTGCAATGGGATCCCTGTGTGATGTGAATATCTACAGTAATAAAAGTAACTACCCAAATAAGTGAATAGAAGTAGTCTGCAGAGCCGCTGACCAATTTGAGAATATGTACACCCTATGGTTGTTACTTACGTGGTTGTGCCCTTAAGATTAAACTTATGATCCACCACATCGCTGAAAATGATTTGATTTTCTTTTGAGTTAATCGTGCATCTACCAACTGTAAACAACAACCCTGCCTCGAATGCTTCTTGCAGYAGCTCCAGGACCTCTTGACCTTCTKCGGTATCAGGGAGAAATGTTCGTCTCTCCAGAGAATCATATGGAAKCCCTGGGTTGKGATGACAGGAACCCTGTCRAGAAAAATGGCAAATTAGCAATGTCACACAGCGCAATTAATACTTTTGCGAAGATTTCTTTGCTAACCTGTATCCCACCATCAAAAAGATAGTCAATATAAATTGTTTTACTTCCATCAAACCCAGGAAGTGGACTCGAATCCATTATTCCATGCTTTATTTGCCCATTTGGAGGCTGAAGGGCGTTGCAACCAGCTTTCTTTTCACAAATAGGACAGATAGAACTCTTCTGTTCGTTAAATTTCTCGGTACATTGTTCACAGATCACATGACCACATCCAGACAAGATCACTTTAGGGTTATCGTTAGTAATTGTTGTCGTGCAAAGACCACATTCACCCGCTTCTGGTAGTACTGGCGTATTCTTGTCGACTGAAAAAAGTGTTAAATTTCTAGAATCAATTCATTCAAATATGCAAAATGATGGAGTCCGTTATTTCAACAATTATT